TCAGAATTAGTGGTCCAATACAGCGGTATTCCACCACAAAATAATCTCAACCTGCTTGTATCCCCAACATCCAGAACAGTGCCTGGTACTAGAAGGTGCTGAGTAAATATCTGTTTAATGAATGAACTGTATCTCCATGGGGCCCATATCCACTCAGTTACCTGCTGGACAACCTAACAAAAGCCAGGAAAGAAACCGCTACTGGAGAACACAGACGCGGAAGTGCTCTGCGGTGCAAACACCGACCAGGGCTGTAAGCACATTTCACCACTCACATGCCCTGCGTTCATAAACTTCAGGCATAAGAGAACAGCCCTGGAGTCAGACTGCCCTGGCTTACATCCTGGCACCGCCCTCTGCCAGCCGGGACCCCGAATACTTCACTTCTTTGGGTCTCACTTCCCACATCTAAACACAAAAAAGAGAGGTAACAGTAGTTCTTGTTCACTGCATAAGACAGTTGAAAGGATGAAATGGGCTAAGTGCAGTTCTAAGACACAGAAGTACCTAGTAAATATTAGTAATTATTTGGGGTTTTTATTTTGACATATACCCACAGCCATATCCCTGGGAAGAATACGTTTGCCTCTCCCCAACAAAAGAAATAGCATTAAACGAGGACTAGGCAATCAAATGGATTCTCTTCCTTGAGGGATAAATGGAAAAGAAAAATCAGCAATTAAGTCTGAATTCCTTTTTTTTTTTTTGGCCCTTCTCAATCGTCATCTCTCTTCTGGCCTTTCCTCCCCACGCCTTCATTAAACCTTTCCTGAGCACCTGTGAACCCGGCTCTGGCCGTGCGGCTCTGCCGGCTCTCGGGAGACAGTCCTTAACTGTTCTGCCGCACTGCTGTGGCCCAGGGAGGGCGTTTAACCCCGCAGGGCCCCATCATCTAGATTATCGCTGAAGATTTCATTTGTTTATCTTTTTAGAGGGGGGGGCAGGGGGAGAAAGAGAGGGAGAGAAACATTGGTGTACAAGAGAAATATCGATAGGCTGCCTCTCGCCACACATCCCAACAGGGGACCGAACCCGCAACCCACACATGTGCCCTGACCCAGAACCAAATCAGCAACCCTCCACTCTGGGGCAAGACGCCCAACCGAGTCCAACCCGTCAGGACACATCTAGATTACCTTCAAATTCTCTTCCAAATCTCAAACTCCACAAGTAAGAAACCGATAACTTATTAGTACATTCAAGTCAAACACTGGCCTACTTAAAAAATACATCTTAACTGTATTTGGAATACTGCACAAATATGGGCACAGGTACAGTGGACTCTAAAAGCTGAATTTCTCCCGGTCTTGGTTTCAGGGACCAACACACGAGTACCCTGGAGTTTTTATTCAACTTCCTTATCACAATGGAACAGACTTATTAAATCAGGACTTTCTCTTAGGACCACTTAATGGTTCTTTACTTACAAACTTCTGGGTACTGACACTAAGCATTTCTAATCACTATTAATTACCAAACCGGTGCTTATAACTGCAAGGTTACTGAGCAGAGAGCTGACAGTTCAGATGAATCAGAACTGTTACTCACCACCAGAGAAGGTGACTTAACTGGAAAAATACTTAACAATCATACTACTTTTTCTGGTTCTTTCTGCTACCTAACATCTCCCCAAACTCTGTATGTCTCTGTTGAGGAAAAGGGGTCAAATTAAAATGACCAGTTAACAACTGACATGGAAAGACACTTACAATATACATTTCTGGTAAGAAAGGCAGATTACAAAATAACATGATCAGCAATATCAATCCTATTTTGATAAAAAATGTATGCATATGCCTACACACATTTAATAGGATATAAACCAAGTTGTTAATAAGCTTATTAGCCCTGGCTGGTGTGGCTCAGTGGCCTATAAACCAAGAAGTCCTCTTCAATTCCCAGTCAGGACACGTGCTTAGGTTGCAGGCCAGGTCCCCAGTAGGGTGTACAAGAGGCAACCACACACTGATGTTTCTCTCCCTCACCCTCTCCCTCCCTTCCCTTCTCTCTAAAAATAAATAGAGAAACATCTTTTTAAAAAAATAAGCTTAGTGACTTTTCTCTAAAATATGTTTGTGTATCTATATTTTCTTATTTTTCTACAATGAACACTTACACCTCCTGAAAGAATTCAAACAGCTGTCTTATCAAACAAGGAAAATAGATCTGGCACCCACGCCATCAACAGATGTCTCCAAGAAGCAGAGCTCAGGCTGGGGTTCCCAGACACAGACACCCTGGGGCTGAGCAGGGGGGATGCTGACATGTTTCCGGTTCCAGCCATCAAGTCTCACCAAGGTAAGTCCAGATCTCTCCTTCTGTTCCCCTCAACTTGCCACTTACGAGCTTTGCCGATTTGCAGCCCTCTGGGCAGCGCTTACAAAACTGACCAAAGGTCCTAATTACAGTTCAGGATTTCGACTTCCACAGTCATTGATTTAAGAGGATCAGTAACAGAAGAGCTCAAGTCACTCTGGCAGAGATCCAATTTTAAAAGTTGGAGCTAACTACCAGCCCTCATTTTAGGCTGTCCAATGCCAACCTTTCTGATCTCAAGAACAAAAAAATAAGCCACAATATTTAAAAGTGTCATCTTCAATTCAAATACATTATCCAGTGAAACAGTCTTAACACAAAATGTTAACTTCTTACAGATTCCCTGGCATATCAAAGGCAGTCACCATTGAACCTCCCAAGATCTGATCAGCCAAGAACAAGTTCATCACCAGGCACAGGTATCATTATATCATAAGACATGAAGGTTGTTCAGGCAGCTCAGTGACATACCAGCAAAGAGGTGTGCTGAGAAACTGTGATTTCCCAGCTAACAAAAGCAAAGTGCATACAAAGAAGTGATAGGAAGACATACATCAAAGGCAATAAAGATGAAGGCGATACAAGGGAAAGGAGTCGAAATAGCAAGAATGAGTCTTCCAGAGGGTGTTGTGAGGAACTCCTCCTACTGAGTGAGCAAGAGCTTGTCACCAGAGCTGGTGCTCTCAGAGGCGCTGAGCTGAGCCTCCAAGCTGCTCTCATGCGTTTCCAATAATGTGATAACTAGCAAAAGCTGCATGGGTCCTTAAACACCAGGTGCCTTCTCACCCCCGCATTCACTTATCCTGTAAACACCATCCACAATTCGCATCAGTGCCTTGTCCTCAGATTATAACAAAGATGCATAGAGTCTACACAGCACTATTTTATTGCAAGAAAACAAAACGGCCAACTATGGGGACCTGAAAAATGTGGCCACTTCAGGCTCACTGTGGTTCTAAACCACTCCCCTACCCTAATTATCCCTCAAAAGAACTGTAACAGGCGCTCCGGGCAAAGAGAGAAAACAAGTCCAATTACAACATGTGCACTTGGTAGATGAAAAATGCGAACATTCTTGAACTCTGGCCACATTTCAGAAGACTTTCCACTTGCAGTTTAACCTCACTGACGAGGAAAGATTAAAGATCGGTTGCACTTCAACCAGGGTTCTACCAAAAAAGGTAGAAAGAGAAATTAACTGACCACAGTATTGTCCATGATACTAAAAGGGAAGCCAGCTGAAAATTCAAAATGACCCTGACTCCTTATCAAGCACTTACAGAGGAAGAGGAAGTGGTTTTTATTTTATTTTAAAATTAGGACTAACAATAAGACCTATTTCAAGAGTACTCTGCACTGGAAAAAAAAACACACACAAACACATTTTGAATTTGAAGATACCTACAGGGGGGTCTTACAGACACATTTCCAGATCAACCCCCCGCATCCGCAGCCCACCTGCCTTTTCTTCACAGAGGTGGGGAGACACGGTTAGACAGCTTCTGCACATTGCTGATAAAGTGCTGCAGAGAGGAGCAGAGAACAACTTCAGTAATCCAAAAATGAGAACGTGTCTAATTAGGCATTTGGATTGGGTGCCATTGCTCAAGAAGCCCACAGCCTGGTCTACAAGCTGTAATCTCTACAACCCCCTCCCCCTGACTGTCCCCCTCAGCCACTGGGCTGGCCTCTCTGTCCCTCCTCCTACACTCCAGACTCTTTCCTCTGCCAGAACTACTGTCCCCTCAGATCCCAAGCATCCTTCAAGTCTTTGCTCAAATGTCATCCTTGCAAAGAGAAAAAAAAGTAACACTTTTTCCCACGATACTTAGCACCTTCCAATACACATATAATTTACTTATATCTATTTTGTCTATTGTTTACTCCTCTCCCCCCAAGAAGCTCCAGGAGAGCAGATATTTGTTTTGTTCACTGATCTATATACCCCAAGCGTTTAGAACAGTGCCTGGCACAAAATGGGAACTAAAGAAATATTTTCTGAATGAATGAATGAACTTGACAGTAAAAATCCAGGAGGAAAGCAAGAAGGGGTGGAAAGGGTGTCGGTGAATGGGTGAAATGAAAGAAGAGGAAAGTGACAAAAAGGAATTCACCAGGGAGAGGTAAAGACTGGCTGAGGTGGGGGCGACACAGGGTTTCTCCCTGCAGTGCAAATGGGAGGGGAGAGCCGGTGCACAGTATCCCGCCAGCGACATCAAACAGCACTCTTCGGAGCAGACAGCGGAGAAAGGAAAGCTCTCAAGACTCACGAAAAATTCCAAGCACAGGGTAGACCCACCAGGGCGGCAGACTCTGGGAAGGCCCCACTGGAGTCTGGGCCACCCAGCCCTTACCGCCCCGCACTGCCCAGAACTCCAGCACCTCCACAGGGTTACCCAGGGGCGTCCCGAGCCGCAGAACCTTCCGCGCTCGGGCCCCTTCACCTGGTCAACAGGAGCCGGGCCCTGCGCTCCGCACCTGCCTGCCTGCGCCGGGGGATCCCCACCCAGACCCACCGGAGGCCCCAGAGAGCCTCTAAGGACTTCACCCCTCCCAGTTCCCCTCCCGCACACAGCCGCCACCCTCTCCGCACCCGGGAAGGGGCTCCAGGCATCCCTTGCCCGGGCCACTCAAGCCGGACGCCCTGTCCGTGCGGCGGCCCCGTCCGTGCGGCGTCCCCTCACCTCGGGGCGCACGTACGACACGAAGGAGGGTTTCAGCGCCTTGATGCCGCCGCCAGCGCTGACTACCGCCTTCCCCAGCATACCACCGCCCTGGGAAGCAGCGACGCGCCGGAACAGAGGTGGCCGTTCGGACTACGGCAGCAGCGGCGGCCACCAGCACAGGCGGCTGGGGCTCCGCCCATCCCCCCAGGGCCGCGACGGCCGCGGCACCGCCCGCATCCGGCTCCGCCGCTGACACCAATCGCTCCGCCCACTCTCGCGCGTTGGGAGACAGTGGCTGGGGGCCACGCCCCCTCCACTCGCGACTGGCGAGTCTCAGAGGCGGAGATTCGCTGTTTGAGATAGGCTCTATTTCACCCTTCTGCGGAAAAGCCCGCCCCTCCTGCGTTCTCTGATTGGCCATGCCTCTTCTTGAATGAACCTGGAGAGATGTGGTCTCTGCCAATCTAGAGAGCGTTTCCTCCGGACTCCTCGGCGATTGGATAGCACGTTTGCCTCTGTCGTCCAATGATCCTGCAGTAACTAAGTTGTGAGCAGTGGTCAAGGCGTTTGTTCTTTCCTTGTCGTTTTAGAATAAAACTTCCCAGAAGTATGATATGCCGACTCTCCCCCTATGAGTTCCAAAACCACATTAATGACATTCAGCTTTATTATTTTAAATGTAGAAAAAAATAAGATAAACGAAGTGTTAACAAGCACTTAGTAATAGTGCCTGATGTTTGATTATAAAGGACCTTGTCTATTTCATTCTCCAAGTTTTTGTTTCTTTGTGTTTCTGACAATTATAAAAAACCCTTAAGAGACTTCTCTTACCCACTCTCCTAGGTCACCGATAAAACCCTATTTTTAGTGAAGATTGCAAAAAAGTTAATTTAAATAACACATGGCCCAAGCATTGTTAGATACAGATGAATAATACAGGACACAGCTTTCAAGAAATTCAGTCTTGTGGAAAACGCTAATCAGTATTTGCAGTTATTTTTTTTGTGTCAGGGACTAATACTCTTATGCTTCTCATTCCCATGAGTGTCCCCCCCCACTGTTCCTCCCAAACAGCTCCAAATAAACATGAAACCTAAGTGATAAAGAATGAACTTGATTTTGCAAACACAGTTTCAGAACAAGTCCTGTAGCTTTGTTACCGGACCTTGAATGCCAAGTTCTTGAATCTCAATGCCATAGAAATGAGCACTGGACTCAGTACAAGATCAAGCAGATAGTTTATTGTGAATGGCTTATATCAGGGCCTTGAGGAGGGTGTATGGCTTGGGAATGAGGATGAGGTGGGTCAGTTGTTCCTAGACTGTCATATGGCGGCAGTTGAACCTGGGGTGGTCACAAGATGTTTTCTGTAGTCAGTGGACCACCCGAAGGGCCTGTAAAATGATGCTTGTGCAAATACTCTAGTTACTATTTAATTGACAAAACAACTATGCTGCATGACATGATGTTAAGGAAGGATGTTAGCCTTACATATTCTTTCCTTTAAGGATGTGGCTAGGTTAATTTTAACTATGGAATTTTGTTGCAAGCAAGGAGACATAGCCTCTAAGATGAAGTTCATTCTGTCAAGACGAAGTCCCACACTATCCCTACATTGTCCTGGCCTCATTTCCAACTACTTTGCCATCGTTAAGTCTATCCAGTTTTCAGTACTGTAGCCGCTGCCGAACTGCATTATCCCAGTTTAAAATGAGAAACAGATGCCAATAATTTGCCCAGGTCACACGGCTAGTTACTCACAGAGCTGGATTCCATCCCAGGGTTGTCTGAGCCCAAAGCCCATGTTCTCAACATTATAATTACCCAAATTAGGAAGGATCACAATGAAAGTGTGGATTCTACGTGCGAAGCCCAAGTCAAGCTTCGTGAAGAAAGACACTCCTTAAGGAGGTGTTGAAGAATGAAATTATTTGTCAGAACTAATCATGTCCCACTTTATATTTCATAAGAGTTTTTACTTGTCAGAGTGAAATGGCAGGGCAGATTTTCACACCCTGAGCAAATGTTTACTTCCTTTTCAAAGGACTCTGAGTTTCCACGATTCTCCACCGTAGTCAGTGTGTTAGCGTAGGTACCTACGGTCAGGACTGGTGTCTTGGGTAGGAAACTAGTTTGGCCACAAAAGACCCACACTTAGAAGGGCTTGGTGTTTAATGCTCCATGGTTGCAGCCTTGAAATTCTGAATCATTTTATCTCTGAATTCATGGTTTTTGAATGAAATGTTATGGGACAACGGAGCAAGCCTAGGGGCCGGAAGCCTCAGCTCCTGCAAAGTGCCACTTACCGTCCTTCCCCCACCTCCTCTCAGGTGCCCACCAGGCCCTGGCACCCTGGTCCTCCCCGGCCAAACCTAGTCTGCTGCCAGCCTCTCTGAGGGTGGCGTCCAGGCCCCATTCCCCAAGAGGCATGAGGGAGGAATCTCATGTTCTTCTATCACCATCCATTCTGAGCGCCCTGAGTGCTTGGGCAACTAGGAGATGGTCTGGGTTGGATACAGTCCCCCAATTCATTCCCGTATCTCTGAGTGAGATAAGCAGCCATCCCTGCCCTAGGCTGGCCGCCCCATGGCGACTGCCAGAGCCTCTTGGCCACCCCCATCCAGATACTTAGTGTGGCCAGGCACATAGGCTCCACTCTCTCAGGATAGAGTCACCCATATCCTGTGGGGCGGGAACTGAGTTCTCTGCCCTGGGACAGGACCCCACACTTTCATTTTGCACCGGGCCCTGCAAATCATGTGGCTGGCCTTGCCTATACCTTTTATCTGTGCCCTTGGACAAGTTACTTCACTTCTCTCTGCCTCTATTTCTATCTAGGATGATAGGAGCAACTATAATAATTACCTTGTGGCTAGGGATTGTTTTGAAGATTAAACAAAGTATCCAGGTGATGCCTAGTAGTCAGCAAGAACTAAGTAGGTGCTGCCTGTCTTCAGCACAATCCCACCAAGCAGGACATAACTTACTCCTCCCAGACTGTAGAAAGAGGAGCAAAATGACTTCTCCCAATCATCAGCTCCGGGACTTTGTTAAGCAAAGAGGTTTTGTTTGTTTGCTCGTTTTGTTTTTAACTTCTGCCCCAATCCTTGGACTAGAGATAATGGCTTTTATTTCTAATCTGTCATACCAACTTTCCTCCCCCTTCAAACCATTCTGCCTTTATAATAATGACTTTATCCTGCTCTTCAGCATCCGGTTGTTTTACAATGTGATCAGTCTGGAAATTTCATACTACCACTCCCTGTATATACATGCTCAGAAAACTGGAGACAATGAGTGAAGAAAGTTGTTTTAATTTTTATTTACTGATTTGAGAGAGAGAGAGAAACACTGATTTGTTGTCCCACTTATTTATGCATTCATTGGCTGATTCTTGTATGTGTCCTGACTGGGGATTGAATCTGCAACTTTGGTGTATCAGGATGAGGCTCTAACCAACTGAGCTACCTGGCCAAGGCAGAGGAATGTTTTTAAAGACTGAAAGGCCAGCTGCTTCCAGGGGTAATTTGAAGTCAGTCATGAGCACCTGGACCTTCAGTAAAAAGCAAGAAGACAATGAGGATGGAGAGCAGGCTCACATCTGTCTCCATCTCGCTGTCAAGTTCTCCAGCTACCAGCGTATTTTTGCTTAATATTTAGGGTGTGGGTCAAATCTCCTTGGAAGAGTCTCCCGACTGATTGAAAAATTCCTGTCATGCTGAGGTCAAACATCTCCATCTATTAATAAACACAGATGGTAGCCCTTAGACTTTGAAACATTTTAATTTATGCGCAACAGTTTAAGGTCACTCTTTTCTCCTAACGCTGCCCAGGCTTTCTTGGAGAGCTATAAATAGGCACCAGTCAAGTCTCAGCTCTTTGCTAGCACGCGGTGAGTGCCAGACCGGGGGCGTGTGTTTCTTCCCACGCAAGCTCCCAGATGGGGAGACACATTCTTCCGACCCATAATCAAGCCCAGCCATTCCCATTTTCTCCCACGTGGAGTCCTGTGAAGCAGCCTCCTGGTATGTGTTAATCATCTTTGTCTAACAGGTGCCAGGCACATAGTAGAAATTCAGTAAATATTTGCACCTCGGTGAGAGAAATGGTACGAGATGAAAAGCAGCCTGGGGAGTGATTGATTAGTAAACAGAAGAAGCGAGAGTTCAGACTCTAGCATCCACATTAGAGTCTGCACTTTTAAATCCCTTGGATACAAATAGCAAAGCTTTCATTTAGAATGGAAGGGCAGATAAAGTGCTTCTCAGATAAGGTCAAGCCTGATCTGAGTTCATCATCACCAAGCCTTTATTATATGAAATGTTAAGAAGACTTATCTAAGAAAAAGAAGATAAAAAACATGTGTAGTAAAATAACAGAAAATTTACAACTATTAACAACCACACCTAAAACAAAAACAAACATAAACTAAGCAAACAACTAGAACAGGAACAGAACCACAGAAATGGAGATCACATGGAGGGTTAGCAACAGGGAAGTGGGAGGAGAAGAGAGGGGGAAAAGGTACAGAGAATAAGTAGCATAGATGGTAGGTAGAAAATAGACAGGGGGAGGGTAAGAATAGTATGGGAAATGTAGAAGGCAAAGAACTTATGACACAGGGACATGAACTGAAGGGGGGATGTGGGTTGGAGGTGTTATACAGTGAAGAGGGGAGTGAAAAGGGAAAATGGGACAACTGTAATAGCATAATCAATAAAATATATTTTAAACTAAATAAATAAAAGTATATGTTATTATATATGACATATACAATACATTTATATGTGATATATGATAGGTTCTTATTTATAATTATAAATAAATATATTCTATAATATATAACTATCACCCTTTTTCTATATCACATATTATTTACATATGGTATGTGGATATCAAATAGTCAAGGACTAAAGTGCATGTGTTGGTTAATGGCCACTTGCCAGACTTCGATTTTAGCCAGTGGTCCGGATGTGGAGGCTTGCCCTCCTCTTTCACTGAAAACAGAAAGTTCCTTAGCCTCTTGCTGCATCCATGGGTCTCTCAACCCTCCTCTGAAGATGATGAGGAATAAACCTGACTTCAGAAGCCTTTAGACTGGTGTCAGTCTCGTGGTGCCAGGATATGAGGACCTGTTGCAGAGACTGGCCGATTATAAACAAGGACTTCCTGTGATTTTTTTCCCCCATAACACACACAATCTAAGTTGGCCACATGGTAGGGGGCTTAATGAG